ATTCTGATTTTGGCTGAAATTTGTTTTAGGTTCCAATTTTATTTAGTGGAATAAAATTGACCATTTCTTCTGGAAAAATACAGAATTTTGTTTTACCAACACGAGGAGATGCTCACAGATATAACATAAAGATTTAAAGCAATGGTCTGCGATCTGGAGCTGCAAACGACTCTTAGAAAACGTCTCTTCATCAATGTGGACAAAATGATTAAAAATCCAGCTGGTTTTATTGAACAATAGATCTTCTAACAACTGGATGTTTTAGCATTTTCTCCACTGACTGGTTGCTTTGATTTTCCTAAGAAAATTCACTCAAATTATAACAGAATTTTTTAAAAATCTCCTTTTAAGACATTTAACATAACTTTCCAAAAATATCAGCAACCTGTTGGAGATATTTGTTAAAAATAATTTGTTTTTTCTCTTTATTTGTGGCTCCAAAGGAACAGGATTGAAGCTTTTCCTTTTTCAGTTCAAAAATCAATTGACTAATTATAACAGAAATAAGCTTTTTATATGTATGTATGTTTATATATAAGTGGCAAAATTGTGTTTTTTAAGAAAATTTTTCAAAAATGTCAGCAACCTTTTAAAACCTTTAAAAAAAAGTTTTTTTCCTTCATTTTAAGACCTAGAATTTAAAATAGCACAATGGTTGTTTAAAAAGGACAAATCGCCTGTGGGAAATGTTTATAAAATATACGTTTTTTCTTTTTAGAACAAAGGTGATGTATTGTTTGCGGCTCTAAACGAGTTTTTTAGCTGAACAGAAGTCAGAAACGGCTCTTTGGATTGTAAAGATTGCAGATCTCTGGTTCAGATCAGCTGATTTTCCAGCCTTCTGTCGATGTAATTATTCACCATTATGGAGAACAGAGCCAACTAATCACTGCATCCCTACTGAGAAGTGTGGCCTGTATATATATGAAGCCTTCCTCAGTCTATACTACTGAATGCAGGGAAAACAAAACAACAGTTTTGTTTCCATCTGCTGTTTCTTATCGCATCAGAAAAGCTTGATGGAAACATTAACATTTGAGAAAATCTCCCACAGATTCACAAAAAGGTTTTAACGCTCGCTTGACGTGGTTTTAGGGTTTTGCGAATTAGGTTTAATGCAGAAAACGGGAGATGGACTTACTATTTCGGATTAACTCGTATATAGTGAACTTTTACCGTATATGACTGATGTCGGCTG